GTTGTGCTTTCTATTGCCTCCTCGCTGCCTCTCGGGTTGGTTTGTTTTGTGTTTTTTTCTTCTGTTTTTTGTTCTTATGTCGGGTTGTGGTTATGGTGTATGGGGTGTGGGGTTGTTTTTTTTTTTGGGTTTGTTTTTTGTGTATGTAATTTTTGTGTTCTTATCCCGGGTTACAGGATAAAACACCCCCTCCCTGGGGACTATTTGGTCTTTTTTGTCCGGCTTGTCCCCCTGCCTGAAAAAAAAAAAAAAAAAAAAAAAAAAAAAAAAAAAAAAAAAAAGACAAAGCGGGAATGAATGAATGAACGAGTCAATGAATGGAAAATCATGAATACAATCAAGTCAAAAATAAAAAAGATACATACAAGCAATCACAACACAACACATTAGGGGGGAGAGGCGCTGGCTGAGCTGGCAGAGTCGCTCAACAACATGGAAGAAAATCCCATCGACAACAAACACCACACCACATGACAGGGACAGGAACAACGGGCTCGCTGATAACTCGTCATCCCAAACAGAATCAAAACACCCTTCTTCTTTCTCCTCAAAGTCCAATACCTCGTTCCCGGCCCGCGTGAGACTGACAACAGGCTGACCGCCTCAAAAGACATCCCATACATGTCCTCAATTATTCCATCACATCCGGACTCCGCCCGGTGAAGACCACTAATCTAAATCCTCGTCGTCGTCCTTTTCAACATCGGTCGTCGCCGTCGCGCTCAGAGTCTCGTCATCGACACGGCTCAAAATCCCCGCCATCTTCTGATGCTCCTCGAGAAAGTCCTCGCTCAGATCGTCCAATTGCTTGATTTGCTCCTGAATGCCGGCCAGTTGGCCTGCAACATTACGGCTTTTCTCGTTTGATGTTGATGGTAGTGCTGATACTTCTTCTTGCCCTGCTAGAGGTGTGGTCTCGTTAGCCATGGCGCTCGCTGCCGCGTCTGTAGAAGCTGCGTCTGCAGGGCTAGCCCATCGACTAGACTCCAGACCTTGTTTGGGAGAGGCAGGTGAGAGGGGATTCACAGACTTCCCGGCGGACTTTGGGCTCTGAAGCACAGTGGCCTCAGTCTTGAATCGCTGCACTTCCTTCTGGGCGCTTTCGGCAAGGTTGCGTTGGGTGTCGATCTCAAGCATTGCCCCTTCCAGCTCGGCCTCAAGGGACGCGATCATCTTCTTTGCTTCATCGAGACTCGCTTTGATAGTGTTGACGTCCTCGGATTCCGAACTTCCCTTGTCCGCCAGTTTGGCGTCATTCAGCTCAGTAAGGACTTTCTCGAGTTGAGTGTCGTATTCCGCCTTGGCCTCGCGGATCGCAAGGTCGTGCTTCTCTTGCAGCGCCTGAAGCTCCTTTTGAGCATCCAGGTACTTCTCGTTCAGTGCCTCAAGCTGGGCTGGATCAGGTCGCTGCGCCGCTGCCTCCTGGGCACTGAGAAGCTCTTGCTTCATGGCTGCTAGAGCCGTTTCGCGTTCTTCGAGTGCTAGAACCATGGCTTCGTGGTGCTTCTTCTCGACTTCTCTGGCCTGTTCTTGTGCTTCTGCAAGTTGAGTTCGAAGTTCGTCCAGCTGCGCAGATGAAGACTGGCTCGACTCCGCGGCACTGCGCGCCCCCTGTAGCTCCGCTTGCAGTTGCGTCAGTGCGGCTTCGTGCTCCGACTTGATCTTTCGCAAGGCTTCCTCGTGTTGTTTCTCGGCTTCCGCAAGGCGGGCACTAGCGGCCGCACATTGCTCCTCAAGTTGGTCAACCTGGCTCTTCCACTGACTCTCCAAGGTTTTCATGATCTCGTCTAATTGGTCGTCGTGTTCTTGCTTCATCCGTTTTTGGACTTCTGCCAACTGAGACAAATTCGCGGCTTGACTCGACTCAATAGACTTGGTGTGCTCTGCGCGAATCCGCTCAATGTCTTGCTCATGTTGTCCCCGTAGCGTCTTCTCTAGCTCGCCGAGGGCTTTTTCATGTTCTGCGCGTAGGGCCTCCATGTCCTCCTCGATTTTGGCCTCCAAGGCCTTCTTCGTTTCCAAGACTTGATCGTGTTGCATTTGAATTTCACTCATTCGTGCAAGTTTGAGGACCGAGGTCGACATGTCTGCTTGCAGTTTCTCGAGAGCTTCATTGAGTTCCTCCTCCTTTTCCTTGGCCTCTTTTTCGGTATTTTCTAGAATGGATTTCACCATCTGTGTTTGGAATCGGTTACCCTCGAGTTCTTGTTGGAGAGATCTGATCTGCGACTCCAACTGGCGCTTCTCTTCAGCGAGGCTCGATCGCAAATCATCCAGCGCCTCCTCGTGATGAGATTTCGCTTTGATCTCCATATCCTGAAGTTGCTGTGCGTGCTCCGCTTTGAGAGAGGCCATTGTCTCAGCATGACGGGCGGAGATCTGCTCTTCCAACTCACTGAGCTGTTTGGCGTGCTCGGCTCGGACTGTTTCCATGGACTCTTGCATGGACTTGAGCTGGTCCTCTAGATCCTTGACCGCAGTGGCGTGCGACTCTTTCAACGCGTCCAGCGCCACTTCCCGCTCATTAGCTCTCTGCTGCTCCATCTCTGCTATCTGCTCCGAATGGATCGATCTTGCCTCTGCCAATTCGGCCTCCACAGTATTGAGTTGTTGCTCGAGATTCCTTACTCTTTCAATGTGAATCTTCTCGGCCTCTTCGACAGCTTTCTGCTGAGACTCCGATGCCTCAGACTTCACACGGTCGAGTTGCTGCAGATGACCAGCTTCAATGGTTTCCAAATCCTTGAGAGACGTGTTCATCTGGTCCTCCAGCTGCTTGATCTGGGATGAATGGGTTTGCTTGAGGGTTGATGCCTCCTTTTGCGAGTCGTGGAGCTTTTGCTCAAGTTGTTGAATCTGCTCAGCGTGAGCGGATTTCAGTTTCGCGACTTCTTTCTCGTGTTTCGTCTGCGATGCGGACACAGCGAGTTCAAGTTCCTTCTCGTGAGCAGATTTCACCGCAGCAATTTCCTCTCGCGCAGACTCGCCTTGGGACTCGCGGTCCTTCAAGATCTTCTCATGATCCGCGGTAACCTCGTCGAGGGCGGTTTTCGCGGCGTCTACTTGACGTTGCAACGCCGCGAGAGCCCCTTCATGGTCTGCTCTCTTCGCCTCCGCATCTTCCCTGGCCTTTTGCAATTCAGATTCGAGATCCTGAACTCTATTTGAATGCGAAGCCCTACTTGTCTCAAGCTCGTCGTTGATGGCGGCCAGGTCAGCTTCAGCCTTCTTCAACACTTTTTGCAATTCGCTGTCTTGCGCACCCTGTATTGTCTTCAATTCTTCTTGGGCGTCGCTCAATTGTCGCTTGATGGTGTCCATTTCCGCTGCATGGGCTTTCTCGGCGGCAGCAAGGGATGATGCGGCCGCGGCATTCGTATCGGCCTTTTCTTGCTGTAGAGCTTTGATCTGGTCCTCCAGCTCACGCACCAGCGCTGCTTGCGCGTTGCTTTCGTTGTCTTTTGCTTGTTGGAATTCGAGCACTTGACTTTCCAAAGATTGAATGACATCGTTTTGCCGGGAAATTTCTCCGGCGACTTTAGCTAGTTCCTCCTGTTGACCAGCGATGTCTTTTTGTTTGCTTGCGATCTCTGTACGTGCCTCCTCAAGCTTGTCCTGGCTTTCGGCAAGCCGCGCTTGGTACTCGGCTTCGAGGGTGGCAATTCGGGTCTCCATCTCCTTTTCTAGTTGTGCATTGCTATCCCTCGTCGACGTGTGTTCAGCAGCCGCACTTCGAAGTTCCTCTAGCTCCGACTTGGACTGATCAATCTCCTTCTGAGCAAGAGCCAGTTCCAGAGTGAGCTGTTCGGTTTTGGTATCGTGCCCTTGAGAAAGCTCTTGCAGCTTTTCTTGATGTGCACGCTCCATTCCCGAGATTTGAGTCTCGTGCAGCGATGAAAGTTGCTCAATCTTGGCGGCGTGTTCCTTTTGCATCGCGTCGGTGACCCCTAGCACACGCACGCTCTCTTCCTCCGCAGTCTTGCTGAAGTCTTCGAGTTTGGCCTTCAGTTCCGCTAGCTCGGCCTGTAAAGCCGCGACCTGCAGACTGCTGTTCTCGTCCTGTAGTTGAGCGCCAGGCTCTTCCAGCTGAAGTTTGTCTACTTCGACCGCCGACTCAGAGGGCGTTTCTTCAATCACCGATTGAACCTCCTCCAACTCTGCGGCCGTTGGAACTCGGCCGTGAGTACGTTCAAACGCCCTAACCTTGGCAAGGTCCGACTTCAATTTTGCGATTTTGCTTGCAGCCTCGTCATCCATTGACTGCTGTTCTTGTTCATCGGCGCCATCCGCCGTCATAGCTGCCCTCAACATGCTGTTCACGAGCTCAAACTCTCTGATCCGCTGCTCTATCAAGAGCGACCTCGTAGATTTCCTCGACCCCAATGGCGGACGAGCGATACCGATTGTGGCGTTGTTGTCTGGGGCCGATGTAGCATTTTCCTTGTTATCTTCCGCCTCTTCTATTCCAGCCTTGACTGCGGGAGAGGCGGGAATCGTGCTCAGGCGCTTCTTATCAGCAAGAGCACCGGTCCCGACACTTCTTGAGGAGGTGAGAGGTCTTGCGCGTGCGGTAGACGGAGTCGACAACGAGGTGCGGGTCGAGGTCGGAGTGGCAGCTACCTTTCTAGCAGCAATTGGACTGCTGCTGGACTGTTGTGCCGATGTAGTTGCAGCCTGCGTTGATGTGCGTCGAGCAGGGGTGGGAGCAAGTGACCTGGAGGTAGGGCCTCGATCAGAAGTCGTGGAGGCTGCCAACGACATCCTCTTTGGTCTTGCAGATATGCCATCTTTGCTCTTCTCGTCGCCAGAAGGCTTCTCGTCCACCGACGTCTCTGATTCTCTTTTCTTGTGTGTTACAATTGACGAGGTCGAGGCTGTGCTAGGGGTCTTTCGGGCGGTCGTACTGGTCGCGGTCGGTCTGGCCGGCGGCTTGTTCAATGAACTTCCAACGGCAGGCCTGGTAGCGGAGGAAGTAGAGGTAGAGGTAGCGGCCGGTCTGCCCGTGGTAGACAATCGGGAAGCTGGAGTCCTGGCCACTGGCCGCGATGGAGGATTGGTCGCCTTTGGCTTGAGCGTCGCGGTTTCATCCTTTTTGTCCATGGCTGCAGTGCAGGTTTGGGGCAGGACTTTTCACAAATTCAACCGCAGAGCAAGAGAAAGACAGATGGGACCAGAAGCAGGAATCGATCGGGAAGGGAGAGGAAGGAGAGAATATCAATCAGCCTAGTCTCAGACCTGCTGGCGTGCGACCGATTGGGCGAAGTCACCGCGACGCGTTTCTTTTTGGCTGCGTGGGAAAAGTCTTAAGGACGAGCCACTCGAAAGAAGCGAACAAAAAGCGAAGAAGCGAAGATGCACGCCCCCACCACCAGCGACAGCATCACGAGGCTAACTTCTCTATCACAGACGAGTCTCTCGCCAGTTCCTCCTCCCTCACTGATTCCCCGAGATTAGTGGTTTCAGCCTGCTCCCGTCCTCGTTCTCGGCTTTGAGACACCTGCGCGCCGCCGTCTCACCCATGACCGATACGATCAAGACTACTTTCAAAGGAGGTGGAAGTGACACGGCTGCTGGCTCGACCAGGACATTCGGGAACCAGAGAGCCGGTTCCTAGGTGCCATCATTCAGTATCTCTGACATGCGCATCAAATAAAGGGGTATCATGCAGCCAAAGCTATCCAGAACGAAGCAAAACAAACAGCCCACGCCTTTATACATCAACCAGGAACACTCCTCAACCAGTCCCAGGACTCATCCAGCTCATCTTCCAACTGTCTCGCCATGGTCTGCTTTACCCATCGGGCTTTCGCCATCAGCTGATCCATGTCGTATTTCTCCAGCCTACCTCCAGGCCCACCGTAAGCGTCGATGATATTTTCCCATCTTGACTCTCCGGTGTACTCTTGCAAGGCGTTGACGAGCATGATCAACTCACATTCATTCCATCCCGTATCATCTGGAGGGGGAATCTCTTCCGTGGGTTCTCGTCTCATCCTCGGCCTGACACGCGCAGCCGTGCCGTTGAAAGACCCAGTGTCTTGTCTGCGGCTAGACGCTGGCAGGACATATTCCTCGCCAACAGATATATCGTCAATGTCGATGAGCTGGCATTGTGAGCTGGGAACTGACTCATTCGGACGCGCCACACCATCATGGGAATAGTGATATTGTCGATGTTTTGCCAACGCCGCTTCTATGCTCCGCCGGTACTCAGCCTTCTGTTTTTCCAGGTTTTGCTTCTGTTGACGTTCAAGCTCGTCAAGAAATCTCTTGCGGTCATCCTCGTCAACAGCGCGACGATAGTTCTCCACGATGTTTAAAACGTGGACCTTGATGTTGGAATGTGTCTTGCTTTTGACCGCATTTTCTAGCACAGGTCTCGGACTCCAAGCCTGGGCGCTTCTCACCAGTTTGGATGTGATGTTCAGGAGCTGGCAGAGTTCTCTCAACGCTGGAACGCTGAGCTCATCGTTCTGAAATAAAGCCCTGAGGGCCCGCTTGGCCAGGTCCAACGACGTAGGTATCAAGTGCTCATATAAGTCACGAACCATTCTTTTCCGCTTGGGGTCGAAACGCATGTCTGGTTGATAGTGGTAGTCACAGATATGTTTGCATCGTCGCCTCAACAGGCCCAGCGTCTCCCGTTTTTCACGTTCCAGTCCTCGAGGAGATCCGGGGCATCCACGACGGACCGCCTTGTAGATAGATGCAAGCTTTGTGAACTCACGCGCGCATGCTTTGCCTTCGGTCGACTCTGGTTCAGAGCAGGCGCGGCTCTCGATGACTTCAGCGGCTGCGACTAGGGACTCCGTCCAAGCGTCCATGCAGCCATGGATTTGCACTGCTATCTCGATCCCTGACAATGCCGCCTTAACCAACCGTTCTCGTTTAGCTTCAGCCTCTGCCACAGTCTGTTCTGCAGCATCGCGGTCAGCCTGAGTTCGTGGGCGCCGACTCTGTTGCGTGGTAGGTTCGGCAGACTCTTGTCCTTGGTCAGCATTGCCTATTGTGCCTCCATGGTCTGCTTCGACCGCCTCAACAAGGATATGAGGCTCGAGTATTGCCTCAGCCAGGGCTTGCTTTGCAATTTCAACGAGTGGGTTAGATGATCCACCACCGGGTGGTGGATTCCGTCCAATCTCGAGGCCTGCATCCGTCCCAGATCCAGCAGGCTGACGTGCAGGCTGTTGTATTTTGGGCCGGTATGACCCTTTAGAAGGCCGATTTTGAACCACCTCATTTGTTGGAGCTTCTTCTGAAAGTTCTCGCTCTTGTTCTGGTGGAGCTTGGTCTTGCCCTTCTCTTCGAGAGGCTTCGAAAAGATCCTCACCGTCAAAAGGCTCGCGATCAGTAATTGTAGTCGCTTCCTTCAGCTTGCTAGCACGTTGGGGTTTGTGAAGAGACCGACCAATCCTCTCAATCCTCCTCCTTACAGGCCGCTTTCTAGGCGAATCGTCCAAGTTTACCAGCGCATTTGTCCTGGTTTCTAATACGCCCTTGCCTTTGAAAGGCGATGCGGTGTCTTGCGGTCGTTGATTGAGCGCCCTGAGCTTCTTTGACGGTCCTAGCAGCGCCATTTTCCTAGAGTTCGTTTCCGCGTCGTCAGGGATCTCGAACAGGTCGCGTCTATTGAGAAAGGTAGGTGCTGAGAGGGATTTCCGCGCCTGTAGTCTTCCGGATCTGCGTCGGGAGGGGCTTGTAGTCGTTGCCACAACCACATCAGAGGTAGACGGGACAGGTTGTTCGATCCGGCTGCGCTTTCTCGGGGGGGTTAACGCATCGGACGCGCCACGAGATTCGCTCTTCCGCTTCCTAGGAGAGCTTTGCATCGAGTGGGCTGCCTCTTCGTTGAGAATGGCCGTCACGTCGTCTGCCTCCCACTCGAGCGCATCGCGAACAGCAGATCTGCGCGTAGAGCGCTGCATCGACGGCCGACCCAGGAGCGAGAACACAATTTGGAAGTATCATAGGTATTTCTGTCATGGAGTTCAAAGCGTTGGTGCCAGCGCTGAACTTGGGAGGTTTAAAGTTCAACGTGTTGCGCCCCGCGATCCATCGGTTGCGCAGGCGACGTGGCCACGAGGCTGAGATTATATAATCGAACCTCAGCCTTGTCGACAAGCCAAGCACAGACATCACCAACATTGTATCATCACATCCACCAACAACTGGATTCATTATCCTCGTTTTGCAGGATAATTCGACTTCACATACAACTTGCCACGGCCATCTCCATCCGTTCTCAGATATAACCAGACTGGGCGGATCGCAAGGAAACCCCAAACAGCGGTCATGGCGAACTTTCCCCTGCTCGCGAAGATTGCGGACGTGAAAGAACATCGATTCGAGAAGCCAGTGAAAAAGATATTCGATGGTCCTGATGTATCCTTCTTCCTAATGTCTCTCGCGTATCGGGACATCATGATATTCATGCTTCAGCTCAACAGATCTGTTTTACCACGCAAAGTTCAGACGGGAGGAAAGGACACAGTCTCGGTCTGGCGGTTAAACTCAGAGGAGGTCGTGTTCTCAGAAGCTATCTCTCGACTGCGCACTCTGTTAGACCACCTAATAGATCTAGTCGATGCTGTTCCTCCCGATACCGGTCCTAGGCGATTTGGCAACGTCAGCTTCCGCAAGTGGTACAAGATCGTCGAAGGAGAGGTTGGCGACTTATTGGCCCAGCATCTGCCAGAAGAACTCGGCCCAGCGCATGAAGAGCTCTCGTCATACCTCTTAGGGAGCCTCGGAAGTTCTCAGCGGTTGGACTACGGAACGGGCCACGAGCTCAGCTTTCTTGCCTTCCTGGCTTGCCTATGGAAGCTGAGTTTCTTCGCCGAGCGCGAACCGGGTGTGGAAGAGCGAGGAATCGTCCTCGGTGTCTTCGAGTTGTACCTCGTCCTCATCAGGAAACTCATCAAGACATACACTCTGGAGCCGGCCGGGTCTCACGGGGTCTGGGGCCTAGACGACAATTCATTCCTCCCGTACATTTTTGGTTCTGCCCAACTGTGTCCTCCTATTGCCGAAAGCGACGACACGCCTACTGAAGGCTCGCTACCCAGTGCTCCCGATGCGTCCGCAGTGACTAAACTCAACCTCGTCGAGAAGGAGAAGGACTCAAACATGTACTTTTCGGCCATCGCCTTCATCTACGACGTCAAAAGAGGCCCTTTCTGGGAGCACAGCCCCATGCTTTTCGACATATCCGGCATCAAGGACGGCTGGGGCAAGATCAACAAGGGCATGATCAAGATGTACAATGCAGAAGTCCTTTCCAAGTTCCCCGTCGTCCAGCATTTCCCGTTCGGTTCCCTGTTCAAGTGGGAGAAGGATCCCGAGGCTAAACCACCACCACCCTCGACACACGCTGCGAGCCAACCTCTCCGAAACCCAACAGATACCAATGCGCCCAGTGCAATGAGGCCGGGTGGTCCTCCGATGGGGTCAACAGCCGCGCCCTGGGCCTCGAAACCCTCGGCCACGCCAGCGGGCTTTGTCAATGGTGTCACGCAGGCCCCTTGGGCTGGTCGAGCACCTCCGCCGCCCCCTCCTCGTGGTGGCTTCGCTGCAGCACAGAGACGACCCCTGCAAGCATTGAAGGAGACGGAGACGAAGACGACCCAGCAAGTGCCCAAAGGGTAAAAGTTAAGCGCTGTACCAAGGAAATGCGAGACACGACTTCTTTTCTCTTGTGAAATGTATGAATTATGAATATGAACACCCCAGACGTAAACCCCCTGGAGATTACCTATTGAAACCCCAGAGGAAGTACTGCATGCATGGAGGGGCAGGGGTATCACGATGAATCAGAATCATAGCCCACCACCAACGCCGTGCTGTTTGTTTCCACTTTCGTCGTCTTCGTTTCTTTAATTTCTGGATGGCGATGATGCCTTTCTGCGTCCCCTTCATCCGCCCTTTTGCGTTTGACTCTCGGCTGCCAGACATCTTGCTCCCGTAAAAAAGGATCGGACGTCATCCTCGTATTACTGCGTAGTGTGCTCTGAAGGATCTCCTTCCTCTGGTCCTGCTTCGCCGTGGTGCTCGACTTGGACCGAGAGGAGGATTTGGAGGATGTAGTTGCCGAAGAGGTCAGGTTTCCATTGTCGCGAGGGCTGTGAAACATGGGCGTGGTCTTGGAGCTAGTCGTCGTCGCCGAGAACGACGAAGCCAGGTCGGGATGCTCGCCAAAGTCGACAAACTTGGCCCTCTCGCCATCCTCGGCACTTTCACCCACCACATCCAGCTCCAGTCCAAACTTGTCCTTCAAGGCCTCTCCGGATTTCTCGTCGGCCTGTCTTTTCCGCCGGCCCACGCGAAACTCGGCGCGGAGGCGCCGACTCCGCTCGTACGGGTCGGCCCAGTCACGGTCGCTGGCCTTCAGGAGGCTCTCGAGCCTCTCCTTCTGCGAATCGAACAGGCTCTTGTCTTGGATCTTTTTCTCCAGCGTGCCGAACGCGCCGTCGCGCTCCAGCCGAGCCTTGTCCTCCTCGCTCACAGCACCACCAGCGATGCGGATCTCGCCGTCGAGGACCTTGTCGGCGCCCGTGTCTCTCCTCCGCCCGCCCTCGACGACCACGTACTCGGCGTTCTTGGGATCGGTCCGCACCTCCAGCCAGCCTCCGCAGGCGGCGTGCTTGAAGCGGAAACTCCACACGGGCGTGGAGAAGTAGTTGCCCACCTTCTTCTTCTCGGCGTTGAACCGCACGCCCTGGCCGATCAGCTGCTCGGGCCGGCAGTGCGTGCACCAGATGGCGAACGGGCATTCGAAGCGGACGGTCAGGATGCCTTCGGTCTTGAGCTTGCGGGCGCGCGAGCCCAGCGCGTGGCCCTTGCCGGACGCCGTGTTGAACGAAACCACGCCCTCCAGGTCCGGAGGGACGTAGCGGCCCATATTGAAACCCTGCATTTTGTCGGCGGTGACGGTTCGTTGTCTGTGACGTCTTCGTGGTTAGAGAAAGGAGGAGGGAGATTAGGAGTCGCCCGCGCGGCCCGCCCGACCTCGATCAGTCGGGCTCTTGTGATGTTGTAATTCGTCCTCCAATTTCCAGACGAGCACCCATTTCAGTATCTGCTCGGCTGTACGGCGATGTTGTGAGGCAGAAATGCCAGGGGGACAGAGAGGATTGGGAGCGGTGGCAAGTGTGGTGGTTGTCGAATGCCGTAGGGTCCAGATTTCTGAAGCGCAGTTGCACATGTGCATCGCGAATAAGGCTGATGCTTAGCCGTTCCTCGGGGCGGAAGATTGGGTTTATCCGCGTCCAGCAGCCGTACATACCTTCTCACTACCGATACATGCTGTGGTGGTTGAACCGGTCACAAGGCTCAATAAGACTTACTATATACTATCTGGGGTCATCTCAGGAAGCGCTGAGGGATGTCTATGCATGACCGAGACTGAATCCTTTGGCCGGCCATTTTCAGCCCTCAGCACTGAAATGCTACACCTTCCCGCTTCGCCACATTCGACCCTCCGCCAGCGAAGCCTGTACCTTCGCAACTAATTTCGACCAACCTGCCGACCTTGCGACTATTGTCCTTGGCCGGCTTCTGTTTCTGCTTCTTGTCCTTGTTCTCCTTGTCGTCGTTGTCTCCAGCGGCTTCGGGTGCCGGGCCGCTCAGATCTGTTTCGCAGACATAGCAGAGAATCCTGGCATTGGTTCCTTTACCTGCCTTCGACGACACACCTTTGGATGCGGTGCCCACCAGAAACAAGTCAGCGCAGGCGCCGCAGACGACGTGCCCGCACCCTTCTGCCGTTCCCAACATCGGTTTCGAGGTGTTAGTCAGGGCCTTCTTGCAGCTTGGACAGAGCCTCGTTGGCTCATCCGCACCCGCGCCCTTTTCTGGCTCGATCTCTGCAAAATTGACCGTGATGAGCGATTTCAGCGAGTAGTTGTGTTTGTCCTCCGGTGTCGATGCGGGACACAGTGGATGGAGCTTTGGCTGTTTAGATTTTGACGCTGTAGCTGTGGATCCGGAGAGGCTGTCGGAGCCTGGGATCCAGAAACTCGCTTCGGAGGATTTTGGCTTCTTGTTCCTTTCGCTGCCTTGCTCGCCATTACTCTGTGTTTCTGACAGACGGGCATGCAACTCCTCGGCTTCCCTCTTCCTCTTCCTTCCTATCATCTCAATCCCATCGTCCGCAAAACCCATTGCGGTCCTCTCAAACACTTCCAACTCCCTTTTTCTCTTCTCTTCTTCCTCTCTCGCTCTCTCCTCGCGCTCCTCCCTCTCCCTCATTTCAGCTTCCTTCTCCAGCCGTTTAATCTCCTTTCTCTGCGCCATGAGATCGTTCAGCGCACATTCCCTGCAAAAGAGATGGACCTTTAGATTGTTGTTGTTTCCCCCACAGCAAGCCACGGGAACCTTGGCATAGCCCAGACACAGGCGGCAATATCCAAAGGGCAGAAACGAGTCGCGTGTAAGTCGGGTTGTTTGAGTCCCCCAGCTTGAGCGCAGGAGAGAGCGTTCGTGAGAGGTGAAGAAGGCCAAAGACGTGTTGCGCTTCGAGTGGGACATTGTAAGCAGGAGGATCGTCGCCACCCCCCGAGATGGCGCACGGTCGACAACGACGACAGGTGCTCCTCAAAAAGTGTTCCGCTTCTGGGGCAAATCTGCTTTACCGCTTGATATTCTGTGAGGACTGCAAACTCCGTCCAAGATATAGACAGATTTCTAGACAGCTAAGAAAAACTTCGAGCCCGCTGGAGCCAGTAAACGTCATCCACATGGAACGCTTCGAGTCGAAGTAGCCGGCTCTTCTTGATCGGTTTTTCAGATCCGATTCTCGTCGACTTCCGTTATAGAGAGCGCTCGTGTCGTGGAGCAATCGTCGTAACTTTGTGGCAGTCTTGGTATGGTTGTATGTACCTAGCTGTGGGACAACAACCGCATCAATGTGGTCTATGTCACTGGCGGGCGCGCCCTTCAAGAAGCGACTGAGGGTCAGATTACACCTCGAGTGGTGACTGATGCAGATCAGGTACAAACAATACAGATCCGTTATCTGGAAAGGCGCTGTCTAGTACATAGGAGGAGCTGCGGACTAAGTGTTGGTGACGATGCGCTTTTTGTATGTTCGGAACAACTCCGGAGAAAAGAAGGGCCGAAGAACACGGGGATATCAAGAGATAATCCGGGACACCAGCCTGACTACTTGCAGGCTCTCCGCCAGCCTTACTCGTTCTCGCTTGGTACGGGATAGAATGTGTATTACTAGTGGCCGTCGTCCTCAAGCAATAGCACGTTAATTGTACAAGACACGGGCCTACGGCCAATGTGTAATGACCGAAGCAATCATCTTGCACAGTGCGCACTCCGAGCCTCCTAACTGATCCATCCATGCATCTCATATGTGTCAGCCTCATATTGCACGAGCAGACATACAGCCCCCATAGATTCACAATGTGCCGGACCCCGACCCCAGTTCGTGACGATGTAGAGATGTGTATGCCCTTTTCAACCTGTCTCTCCTCTCCTACGGCGCTTGAAGCAAGAGCATTCCATGAATAGTTGGACGGTAAAGTATGCCGGAATCCAGACCGTAACTACCAGCACCACCAGTAATATCTGAGCCCACAGAGGCCAGTCTAGGTAATTCGCCGCTGATCGGCGTAGGATTTGGTCATGAAGACTGTAGTCCATTCCAGGCACAGGTGCCATTGCAGAGGACAGCTTCGGGGGTGGCTTTGGATTTGTGGCTTATCACGAGGCAATAACGTCTGCAGTAAAATCGTCAGAGAAGAGTTCTAGCTCGTCATTTATTGGCATCAAAGCTTTACCTGGCTCAAAAAGACCAGCCCGACCACGGCAAGCTGTAGCTGATAGATCGGACGACGTTCCAAATAATAATCCTTACGTGGCGCAGGTGCAAGCGATTCTCCGCGTTTAAAGTCATGATCGACTGCAATGCATGGCGCCGACGAGTTCGGGTGTACTGCAGGTTGACAACATAAAGGTAGTAATCTTGCCAGCTATGCCCGGGTGGCGAAAGTCCTCGCCGGTTTCAAGGCATTGTTTTCGTGTCAAAGGCGTTTGAGTGTTGCGTCTGCAAACAAATGTCCGGACATAGACACATCCCACACAATGACTCGGAGCACAGTCATCACAGCCATTTGCGGCCAGCAGCAGTGACTCTTTGCTTGAAAACAGGACTCTTGATGGGATTTCCAATCGTGTAGAATGGGTTCATCAAGGTCTTCACCCAGAGTTCGAAGACCTCGTTCATAAATTGTCGAATGGCCTCTTCTGTCTGTGGACTGGTGGGATTCTGCGGAATCGAAGTCGATGAAATGGTCGTCGACGCTCGAACTCCAGCAGAAGAGTTTGTCATTGCCGATGGTTGGTGGAGAAGCATAAATCGCACATTCGTCCCCGTCATAAAGCAGCTGATGTGCGAATTGGTGGGTGCGTAGTTGTCAATGACTTTGAGCCACATGTTTGGCGTAAGCCACTGCACTTCTTCCACGACGTCGAGAGCGGCGTGGACTATGAATTGATTCATATACCGAGAGGTCTCGCCATTGCGGAACCGAGCGACACCGTCACCGCCAGCTTTGGATGTGCCGAAGGTCAATTCAAAGAGCGGCGAGTCGGTGGGTGATACGATAACGAAGTAGTATGACATGTTCCTTTCACGCGGCGCGAATCACCGCTCCTTCGAGAAGTCCTTGAGATGTGAGATCGACCTTTACCGGCAGAGTTATTTCCGTATCGCACACTCAAATGGGTAGAAGAGAGAGATTAAACACTGCAAGTGGTGATCGAGACGAGGCTCGGCACAACTCCGGGGAAAATGTTGATGTCGTGGTGGCACGTCAAGAGATGAAACTCCCATCCGCATTGTGAATCTACATTCTCGACACAATCCACAGGTACGTTGTCGGCGGTGTTGACTGCGATCATCACTATTGCGGCATGCCCCCTCTCGCTTTCGGCCTCAACTCCGCCAAAACATCCTCAGGCGTCTCGAAGCCCGCGCAGAAACGCAAAGCGTTCTTCGATGATGGCGATGATGGAAGCGAGGAGGCCGCAGCCACGCCTCCACCTGCTTATGGCGCGAAGAAGACCTCGAAACCCCTACGACCCTTAAGAGATCTTGACGATGACGACCATGACCACGAACCTCCGAGAAAGTCGCCCAAGCTGTCGCAGTACGGTCTGCAGCTTCCGAAGTTAAAGGCCTCAGGATCTGCAGTGGAGACGGACAAGTATGTCAATCTGTCGGCCCTGCGCAGTGCCAAGTTGCATGACAAAGAAGCCTCGAAGATTGATGCATCTGTCTACGACTACGACGCTGCCTACGAAACGTTCCATGCAGAGAAAGAGAAAAAGTCAAACGAGGCAGGGGGATCGTCGGGCCCCAAATACATGGGATCACTTCTACAGAGCGCTGAGGTGCGAAAGAGAGATCAGCTGCGAGCCCGAGAGAAGCTCCTGCAGCGTGAAAGAGAAGCAGAGGGAGATGAATACGCTGACAAAGAGAAATTCGTGACTGGAGCATATAAGAAGCAGCAGGAGGAAATCAGGCGCATGGAGGAGGAGGAGAAAAAACGTGAAGCAGAGGAGGAAGAACGACGCAGGAAAGGTGGAGGCATGTCCGCTTTCCACAAGCGGATGCTAGAGAAGGACGAAGAGAGGATGCGGTTGATCAAAAAGGCCGAGGAGGAGGCCGCAAAGAGAAAGGAAGACGGCCTAGAGGAGGAGACGCCGATCGAGGAAGAGGAATCTGAAACGAAGATTGCTGAGAAACTGAACAAGCAAGGAGCACGCATCGTCGTCAACGATGAAGGTGAGGTGGTCGACAAGCGACAACTCCTGTCCGCTGGCCTGAATGTGGCGGCTAAGAAGCCCGGGAGAGAGCAACAAGCCACCGCGGGATCAGAATCTGCT